TGGGAGTGCAGGGCACAGAGATTTCCATAAAAAGGCATGGGATTTGCTTGGAAGAACATAGTGGTTTTCTAACTTGGCAGTAATGAGTTAGAACTAACCCCTTTAAAAAGAAAATATTAATTCACGTTATTTCTTATTGGGGGTGTGTGTGTATGTTTTCTTACCTGAGTCGTACATTTTTTGTATTTGCATGTGTGCGTATAGATTTACATTTGTAAGCCATGGTGTTTGTTACGTGTAAAGAAAATAATTTTCTGTACATACAGTATACATGAAAAATGACTTTGGAACTTGAATATCTTGCCACTTTACTTGAGGCACAGAGACCACATATTTTATTGCTGCAGAATACCCAAAATAATTTGGCCGCGTCTGAGTGCTTTCCCTGAATGTTCTTGCCCTGGGAGGCAACTTGGAGAGTATAAATGAGCCTTGCTGTACTAGCATTCCCTCTGGAAAGATGTGCTTTTTGGATTGAAGTCACGTGTTGACGAAATGACAGCGGACCTCAGACTAAGAATCAGCTGGGGCCTAGAAAGGGAGTTTCAGCTCTATATGAATCAGTCTGGGTGAAATTCATGCTCTTGTGTTTAGCCATTTGTATTTTTTTTCCATAGAAATCGGAGAATCACCTGATGCAGGTAGAGGTTATAGGATGATGGGTGTCCAGCGTCCACTTCTCCCACTTTACTATTTCCTCAGGAAACTTAAACTGAATTTTTGGCAGAAAGTATTAACTTTGTTTTTGAACCTCCTTTTGGAGTTCCTACCTTAATGGGAGGCATGCTACCAGCCACCTGATTTGTCCAGCTAGGTATCTAGGAGTTGTCCTCTGCTCTTCTTCATTCACCTTAGTAAGAGCCTGGGATCGGCTACGGGGTCCCCTCTGCTTTGCCTTCAGGAGCCCATCCCTCCTCAGCCCTGGTGCCCCGCGCAGCCTTCTCTCGTTCCCCTCCCGAGCCTGTCCAGCGGCCTCCTCACCTTCTCTTCTGCGGTCCGTTTGATAAACGTACTGTTAGCAGCTGTTTTGCTAGAGGATATATCTAACTATATTACTTTTTTAAAAAAATTAGTTTTCTCTCCATTGATTGAAAGTGTAAACTCTTTAAATATGGCAGATGCCTTTGCAGGCATTACTCGGTCCCCATACGCAGCCTCAGTCTTTAGACCTTTTGATACCCTGTGTTTTAGCCACATGGAGCTATGTGCTCTTTCCTGGATCTTCTCTATTTCATGGGTTAGAGTATTTGCTCAGGCTGTTTCTTCTGCTGAGAATGCCCTTCCCTGCACACCTGGAGTGTTGCGATTCAGTTCACCTAGCTCTTACGTAACTTGCATTGAAAAACTATCTTGCACTCTTTGTCCCTCCATCCCTCCCCAACCCTCTAATTTTGTCTTTGTAATAACTTTGTTCACATCATATGATAGTCATTTGTTTTTTCTTCCTCTGTGAGCTACTTGAGGATGGGAAACACATGCTCTTGATTTTTGTGTCCCTGGCACCTAGTATAGAACTGATGATGCCTAGGAGATGCTTTGTAAGCGTTTGATTCAGAACCACCACCATACTTGCCATAGTGTCTGTGGCATAGTCTACTAATATCCTTACTATGTTACTTAATCAGTTCGGGTTGCTATAACAGATTACCATAGACTGGATGGCTTAAACAGGTTTATTTTTCACAGTTCTGGAGACTGGGAAGTCCAAGATCAAAGTGCTGGCAGATCAAGTGTCTGGTGAGGACCTGCTTCCTGGCTTGTTGATAGCTGTCTTGTGTCCTCACTAGGCAGGCACAGAGAGAAGCACACTCTTTAGGTCTTGTATAAAGACATTAATCTCGTTCATCAGGGCTCTGCCCTCGTGGTCTCATCTAATCCTTGTTACCTCCCCTAAGGCTCCTCCTCTTAATACCATGGAATTAGGGCATGGGTTTCAAGGCAGGAATTGCAGAGGGTGCGTTCAGTTCATAACACTGTGAATATAATTGGCATTCTGAGAAATTTTCCTTTTTTTTTCTCATTGAATTTTCTGAAGTTGATTCTGTTGAGCTATAATTTACATGCAATAAAATGTACCTATTTTGAATGTACAGTTCAATGCGTTTTGATAAATGTGTGCACCCACGTAACGACCACCACAATAAAGGTACAGATTATTTAATTCCCTTATGTGCCTTTAATGTCATCAGCCCTGCCCTCCCACCACTGGTCCCAAGCAGCTTCCTGACACCACTGTAATGCAGTTTCTCTCTCCTAGAATTTTATCTAAGTGGTATCATACAGTGTTCAGGCTTTTGTGTCTGGCTTATTTTGCTGAATGTGTTTCTGTGATGTGTCCCTGATTGTGCAGATTGAAGTTTCTGTCTCAGCATTTTCGTCTCCCTGAAGAACTTCCTTTGCGCTGTAAGAGTGCGCTGGTAAACCCCCCCCCCCCGCCACCTTTTTTTTTCTGTCTGTGAAAACTTTTACTTTCATTTTTGAAGAATATATTCATTGTATTTAGCACTCTAGGTTTACTACTTTTTTCTTTAAGCATTCTAAAAATGTTTCATTTTCTTGTCTCGCATAGCTTCTCAAAAAGTCTACATATTTTCTTAACTTTGTTCCTCTGTATCTAAATTTTTTCTCTTCTAATAACATTTTCTCATCTTGACAGTTTTTCAGGAATTTTATTATTGTGCCTTGTACTTTCCTTTGTATTTATACTGAGGAGAGGACTCATTGAATATGTTGAATCTGTTGATTTATGTTTCTTACCAAATTTGGAAAATCTTTTGGATAGCTTGATACTGTCCTATGGTTCTCTTATTTTTTTCTTCTTTCCTTTCCCCTTTCCCCTTTCTACTCCCTATTTACCCTCCTCCTCATCACCTTTTTTCTGTCTGCATCTTAGTTCTCTGCAATTTTCTTCTGTCGTATTTAGTATACTATTAATCCCATCCAGTGACATTTTTATTGCAGATAATATTTTTGAACTCTAGAAGTTCATTTTGGTTCTTTTTTCTCCTATCATTTCTCTTCTCATACCTTCCTTTAAGTCCTGAGCATATTTATAATAGCAGTTTTAGAGTCCTTACTACCTCATCATCTCATTTCTGGGACTGTTTACAATTCACTCATTTCACCCCTATTAAGGTTACATTTTCTTTCTCCTTCCCAAGTCTACTAATTTTTTATTGGATGAAATGGACATTGTAAGTTTTACAATGTTGTATGGTGGATATTTTTTCTTTTAAAGAATTTTGGATTTTGTTATGACAGGCAGTTGAGTTGCCTGTGGATTGGCTCCAAACTTTTGAAGATTGTGTTTCAGCTTTGTTAGGAAGCATCTAGAATATCTCCTCAAGTATGATTCTTCTGGGTTGAACTAATTGCCTATATTTCAACAAGGAGGACTTTTCTGGTCAGAACCCCATTACTTCGCAGCACTCTGGGAATTGTTCGGCTTGTAGACCCCTATTTATTCTTTATCTTACCTTCTGCATACCTGGTTTGGTGTTTGGCTTCAAACTCAAGTGGACAGACTTCTGTGCAGACTTCCGGAATTTTCTGAATATAACATTCTTTCCTGGTGCGCCCCTGGTCCCTGCCTGAGCTCCCCTCCCTCACCGCAGTCGGAGCGGTGCCTCCCAGCAGGACCGGGGCCGCGGGTGGTCTCCCTGCAGTTCCTTCCCGCCTCTCCGAGACCTCGGTCCTGCGCTGCTTATCGACCTGCGCTGCTTATCGACCGTGTCTGAAAACACTTGTTTTTATGTATTTTGTTTGCTATTGCTGTTGTTGTAGGATGGAAAGTTCATTCCTACAACGTCCATCATGGCCATTGGAAGTTCTTCCCTGCCTTTTTAACTTTTAAGATAATCATGGAGATAGAAAATAAAGCTTGTATTTCCTTTTCTTCTTTGTAGCGATTTGAGCCTTAAGAAGTATATTACTACTACCCACCTCTGTAATAAGTTTTAACAGTTTTATCCATAATCTGCCATTCATATCTTAATAATATTTGAGGTAACATTTAACATAGTTCAGTTACAGTACAATAATGAGAACAAAATAGTATAGAATTATTATATGATATTTCAAGCAAATTAAATAGCATGTACTTTATATTAAAGGTTATGAGTAAACATTTTAAAATATATAAGTTGTTTAAATGAGAGTTTCATAAGTAATTGAGTTTATAATTGTAACTGCTGGTTTTAACCTCATTTTCTGATAAGTCTTAAAAGTATGAACAGGCTAATCAAAGATGATATGTAATGAATTAAAATGCTTGGCAGTAGTCCTTTAAATTTATGTTAAAACCTGCTCTCTGCATAGTTTTACTGTGTAGCCTCTCTGTCTTTGCTTTGATAGTCTTAGGGAGAAAAGCAAGCAAAAATAAAATCCATGTTATTTCATGTAACAGTGATACATTCTTAGGCTAATCTGAGCAAATATATTGGCTTGGCCAAAAAGTTGGTTATGTTTTTTCTGTACTGTGACTCTAGTAGTGCTTAGTTGTCATTAACTTCATTCAAAACAATTTTGTTAGAATGTATTGTGGCAGCTGTCAGTGTGCATTTAAAAATAATCAAAATTGGTGAATTTTTGTGCAGCCATTTTGATATTGAAGATGGAAAAAAATTTTTGGCATATTATGCTTTATTATTTCAAGGTAAAAACCAGCTGAAGTGCAAGAAAAGATTTGTGCAGTGTATAGAGAAGGTGCTGTGACTGATTGAATGTGTCAAAAGTGGTTTGCGAAGTTTCTTGGTACTGTGGCACCTTGGCCAAATAATTCTTTGCTGTGGGACTGTCTCATGCCTTGGAAGATGTTTAGCAGCACCCCGGGCCTCTGCCCACTACAAGCCAATAGCAGGAGATAGCAACATATTCAAAATATCCAAATCAATAAAGTGACTGGTGAAAATGAAAAATGTGTCTTTTATTTTACAGAAAAAAACATAACAGACTTTTTGGCCAACCCAGTAGTAATCTTTGGTGTTTTCTTTTCCCCCCAGATTGTCAGTATTTAAACAGACCACATCATGCGTGAGTACAAGCTAGTGGTCCTTGGTTCAGGAGGCGTGGGGAAGTCTGCTCTGGTAAGTTAGCCACCTGACTACAACTAATTAGCATAATACAAGAAGAACATTGATGTTTTCTTGCTTTGAAATTTCAAGTCACTGAAGAGAAAAGGTGGCAGTATTTTTTCATATGCTTATATCTAGCCCAGAGGGGCCAGGGATTCTTTTGGTAACCGCAGGTGTGTAGTTTGATAATGGTGGCTCATTCATGCTTTCGTTTACCAAATATTTATTGGCTCCTACAATATGTCAAACAGTACTGTTCATGATTCAAAGAGGAGTAAGATTTTTTAATTTTTAAGGAGCTTACATTCCAGTTGGAGAGGCTGAGTATTACAGTGGAGTAGGTCCTCCACTCCTTTACCCCAGAGTTAAGTGGAATGAAGGTGGGTGTTTGTGTGTGCACGCTGTATTTATTTAGTAAGTATTTATTGAGCTTTGACAACGTCAGGCTCTGGGGTTGTAACAGTAAACACAAATCATCCCAGTCTCATGGAGCTTACGTCATCCTGGACAAGCTGTGATAAGTGCCCGATTAAGCAAAGAACCACTTGATTATAATTGCCAGCGAGATACTTTGAAAGAAAAGTACAGATTGTTAAGGAAGGCCCCGGTGGCGAGCGAACCTAATAGCATTTGAACAACTAAGGGGACGGTTGCACTTGCCGGGGCCGGACGGGCAAGAGTGGGAGTGGAGGGAAATGAGGCGAGAGGCAGGCCAGGGCCAGGTTACAGCTGAAAGGCCATCTGAGAGCGTGGCACTTACTCCTAGTGACGATGAGAAGCCACTGAAGACGGGGTCTCGGGGGAGGGGTGACGGAATGGATGTGTTTTAAAGAGGGCACTTGGACTGCTCTGTGTAGAGTGGTTTGAACGGGAGGCAGAGCCAGTGGGGGCCCACCGGGCGTTCAGGCAGCGCACCTCACTGCTGTCGGGGGGAGGGGGGGCTTGCGCAAGGGCCGTGGCAGCCAAGAAGGGAAGAGTAGACGTTTTGAGAATTAAATAGGAGGTAGAACTGACATAACTTAGCGCTGGATTGACGTGGGGACAGGGAGAGAAGGAGCTCTCAGGGATGACTCCCGAAGTTCTGATTGCGCTGCTCATTCTGTGTATGGGCCACTTAAATAGGAGGGAAACACTGGGGAGTTAGCAGATGTAGAGTGAAAACCAAAAGTCATGTCAAAGTTGATGTTTGTGAGCTGTTTGAGTAAATACATCAAATAAGCGACTGGCTCCTCAAGGTAATAGCTTAAAAGAGAGACTTGATATGTTTGGAGATGTGATGAATATGTCAGTGGTATTTAATTTCATGAGCATATAGTGTTTAATTCAGCAAATCTTTATATGAATTTTATTCCCCCACAAAATTCACAAAATGATGTGGTCAAGGATGTCCATTGCAACATTCTTCACAGTGGCAGGGGTTTGGAAACAACCTAAGTGCCTAGTTAAGTAAGTTTTTAATAACATATTTTGAGTAGACTACTATGTAACTACTAAAAAGAATATAGCGGCTCTACATATATAGGTATATAATGATATTATGTAGGGAGCAAAAGGGTACCAAACAGAGTAGACTACCGTTTGTGTTTCATAAAAAAGGGAGGATGAGGAAGAGAGACATCAAATGCACAGACTACCCTCTGCAATGGTAAGGAAGCTACAGGTAACAGTCACTTCCTTGGGAACAAAGTGGGGAACAGAGGTGGTAGGTAGGGTTGGTTAGTTACCACTGCGTACTCTTTTGTATCTTTGCACTTTATCCATGTCCATGAATATAAAATAATTAAAAATAAAAATCCGTTAGAATAAATAAGGTCATCTAGGGAGAGAAGAGAGCCCAAGACTGGGCCCTGAGGACCTCTCAGCCATTGAATAGTGGGTAGAACTGAAGGATCCCGGTTATGTAGAAGGAAATGTCTTGTACCTGAATGTGAAGACTGTGTCTGTACTTGACTGACAGCCAGGAGTCAGGTCAGGCAGAAGGAAATGTCTGGGGACATGGAGGTGGCTGGACTCGATGAAAGCAGCTGCAGTCAGCGATGGCGGCGTAACCGTCCTGAGGCGGGCTGAAGAGTGAACGCGAGCGGAGGTCGTGGGTCCTCTCTCGGAGGCCGGTGAAGAAGCTTGCTTATGAGAGGGGACCGAGTACGGGGGCCGGGCTGGAGGGGTTGAGGGGTTAGCGGAGGTGTTTATTTTGGGCTGGGAGATGGGAGAGCATGTTAGTATTCTGGGGGCCGTAATCCAGGGGAGGGGAAACCAAGGCTATAGCAGGAGAGAGTGATGGTTAGGAAAAGGCAGTAGGTGAGGAAGGAAGCAGAGGATCCAGTGGGAAAAGTGAAGGATTGAAACAGAAGTCTGCGTGAGTGAACGAGAAGTCCCTGAGAACTGAGAGGGTGAGGTTCGGAACAGTAAGGAGAGCCTGCTTTTATAAGAAAGGAGTGAGAAGTGGGGGGTTGTCTTTTTTGCAAGTCTCTTGTCTAACAACTGGCTTGTAGAAAGACTTGGGTTCTTGTACCTGCTTCTGTGTCCAATTTCTTGCATAAAGCCTGTGTTATACAGGGTCCAGCAGAAGTAACGCCTGCTTGAGTGTGGTCAGTACAGTAATAATATGAGTGTGATAATTTATTGTTTTAATTTGAACATTTCACCTAAAATGTCATATGGTGTGCTTGAGTGTGATATTGTTATATTACAGAATTACATCCTATGATTTTGTAATAAAAAAGGAGCATTATTTGTGTCGGACCCTGTATATATACCCTTTGAAAAACTCCACTGTAAGTTTAGGAGAGAGAGAGTGTTATAGTATTATTAGGAAAACAGTTTTTTTCTAAATCTCTGCCCTGAACCATATGGTGAACCTCTGCTCTAACCTAAGCGTATTGGTAAGTTTATATATTTAAATTATATGTAGCACGAAGAAGATGAGGTGATTAAATCCTTGATAAAAATAAAGTTCTTGGTGTAGGTTATATCCTGAGTTCCCTTTGAAGAAAAGAAGCTTAGTAGGAAAAAGACATTTGAAGTTTACTGTGTTCAAGTTAATCTGTGTAGCTGAAGCTGAAATCATGTACAGAGTACTCCGCTGGGTAACTTCAATGTGGATGAGCTCAGCCTACATAGCCTTGTTTTTAAGCAGTGATGGACCAAATCCTGTTTTAAAGCTGCCCAGGAAATATTTCACAATCATCTTCTGTACTTCTTTTCATTTGTCAAATGATAAAATACCTAGTTTCTTGTCTGTGCTTACTGAAATCCTAGTGATAGAAGTAGATAATCTGAAAAAGATTTGTAGGCCACATTTTTCAATGAAAAGCATAAGGCTTTGGAACCAGGACAGTGTACATTTGAATCTCAGCTGGCAAATGGGGAAAACACATGAGGTGAATGTAAAGTTTGAATGTGATTATAAATTTAATAAATTCCATACATTTTAATTCCCTTCTGCCCCAAGTAAGAAAGACTGGTTCAAGACTTTGAGATTTAGAACATTTTGTCTGTCTCCTTTGAGAGCATGAGATAAGTTACTATAGATACATAGAGGAATAATAGGAGTTTACTGATAATTTTCATTTTTTAATATATTAGAATATGTCATTATTTGTATATTTGTTGTATTTTAAAACAGCAATTAACAGTATGTCAACAACGGCACTGTTTATAGTTTTTAACATGACCACCTCCTTTCATAATAAGTATGCTCTTACCAGTGTGTCTTTGTGTTGAAAAATATTTATACTTTACGTTTGCATGTTTACCCAGAATTTTCACATAATGTCATTTAATCTTTTCCACATCAGAGGTTAAGTAACATTTAAAAGGGTTGATTTTTCTTTCAGGTCCTTAACTTTTTTCTGCCTTTTTTTCTTTTCTTTTTTTAGACAGTTCAGTTCGTTCAGGGAATTTTTGTTGAAAAATATGACCCAACGATAGAAGATTCCTACAGAAAGGTAAAGTGTGAAACTTGTAAGCATGCACATGCTTAAAAGTAGTTGCTTACAACTTTAAAACTTGATCCACAAAATTGGTTTAACAATACTTTGTTAAAAATAGTTTTGAGAGCCCTGGCTGGTGTGGCTCAGTGGATTGAGCGCCAGCCTGCAAACCAAGGGGTCACCGTTTCTATTCCCAATCAGGGCACAGGCCTGGGTTTTGGGCCAGGTCCCCAGTTGGGGACATGCAAGAGGCAACCATGCATTGATGTTTCTTTCCCTCTCTTTCTCCCTCCCTTTCTCTAGCAATAAATGAATAAAATCTTGCAAACAAATAGCTTTGAGAAATGATGCAGATGTTCTCTATGTTTTTAAAAGTTTCACCAAGATAAAATATTTCTTATTAAATACTGCTTAACTATAGGGATCTGAGTAACCTGTTCTTTAAAATACTCAATTTCCTAGTGAGGAATATTTTTAATGTAGGAAAATTGCACATAAATTAGTAGGTATATTTTTGACAAACTTTTTGTGAACTAAAATCAAGATCACTTTTATGCTTGCGGTTTTCCAGTGACTGAAGTTTTTATTTATGTTTAGTTAGATAATAACTTTAAAGATAATACTTCATCTTTAGACTATAAAAAAATTAGTTGTTGGATTCTGTGTGATACTGTAAGGGTGGACACATGTCATTACACATGTGTCCCAACCCACAGAATGTGCACCAAGAGTGAACGCCAATATACGAACTGCGGACTCGGCCTGGTGAGGCTGTGTTGCGGTAGGAGGCCCGTTGATTGGGACGACGCCGGCTTGGGTGCGGCTGCCTGATGGAGCGCTGGCGGTGGGGCGGCGGCGGAGCCGGGGGAGGCGTAGGGGGGCTCTCGGTCTGCCCAGTTCTGTTGTTAATCTACAAAGTAAAGCTTATATAAAAGCAAAAAGTTGATCTTGACAAAAAAAATACTATTTAATTACAAGGCTAGCTAGAATTGTAGAGAATTTTTATGATTTTATTTCCCAAACCTTAAGGAGGGTGGGGGAACCTAGAGTTATAAGAAAGAGTGGCAGCCAATAATATACGCCCCCCCCCAAAAAAAAAGATTAAACCTACCTTTCAACAAATAGGAAATGAAGTTCATCAGGCTATATTGGAGGAGCAGTTTTGTTATCTGTAAATTGGATACAAAATTGTGCTTTAGATACTCTGAGAAACTGCAGGACTGATTCACTATTCATTGAACCTGCCTATTTACGGATTGGGTAGCTTACCACGCTCATGCCGTAAGTAGGTGGCACCGTGAATTTGTGGCCACCAGTGGTGCTCGTCAGTCCCTGATCTGACACAGAAGCAGGGTTTAAAGTAGTCCTCAGGTTAATTTTAGAAGACAGTGTTGCACTGCTGAAATTTTCCCCAAATAAGTTGCTGGTTAAAGCTTTACTTACACATGGAGATCTGTACCTGGAATGCAGGAGATTGACCACTTTCCTTAATCCCTTCTTTATTAAAAATTTTCCACACAGTTGAGAGGTGATACTTTCTTTAGGCCAACCTTCTTTTCTTTTATAAAATACTGGGAATAAAAGTTCAGTGTATAAAATTTCATCTTCCGCACACAGCTTTTCCAGAGAAGTACCTTTTTCTAAAAGCCTAGAGGGTTATATGAGTTCGGTGTTATTAAGTAGCACCTCTGTGTTCCCTTTATCTCTTATTTTTTTGATAAATTTTATTTATTGATTTTTTTAGAGAGGAAAGAAGCAAAGATTTGCTATTTATGCGCTCATTGGCTGATTCTTGTATGTGCCTTGACCGGGGATTGAACCTGCAACCTTGGCGTGTTGGGACAATACTCCAACCAACTGAGATACCCAGCCAGGGCCCCCTTTAGCTCTTAAATTAAAATTTTTTAATGTATTAAATTTGGGATATAATATATTTCAGTAAAACTTTTAACAACTTGAAACATGGTAAGTTGCCAAAATTTCTTTGCCCCAAAACCTATCTGCATTATGAGTTATTTAATAATTTTGTGCTTTGTTTTCTTTAGAGATAATATAAACATTGTTATACATTTTTGACCATTTGCTTTCTAATAATAAAAAATACCTTTATTTTTTATTATCGAGAGTTTACAGTGGTCAGAAACATCTAAACTCAGCATCAGCAGTCCTGGCTTCTGTAACATTAATAGAAAATGCCTGGGACCTCCTGTTCTTACTGTTACATCAAGTTAAGTCTCAAGCAGTAGCCCAATCTACTGAGGAAGGGCTGAGTAGTTGTGAACATACACTTTGAGAGAAGAGGGGGGAGGAAAACAGAATGACATTTTGATGCTCCTTTTTCCTTTTTCCCCACCCCACCAGCAAGTTGAAGTAGATTGCCAACAGTGTATGCTCGAAATCCTGGACACAGCGGGAACGGTAAGGACGCTTCTCCTGTTTTGATAGATTTTAATTTGTGAACAGGTTACATCATCAATAATTCCTCGAAGTAAAAGTAATTATTCTGATTAAGAACAAATTATCTAAATGTAAGGCCTCTTAAATATTCCTGTGTGCATGAGACCATCTGTGATGAACCTAAAGTTCACATCTCACTGTTAAATTGTATGTCAAATTCACCTATAAAATCTGTGTGGTGGGTTTCTTCTCCCTGTGTTCAGGTAAGGATGCTATTACTGCTCAAAAAAAGGGATACTTTAAATCCAAAGTTTTAGTAAAGATAGGTATTTCATTGGGTTTAATTAAGACTTTGTCTCTTGGCCCCATAGCCATTCATTTTAATAAAAATTGCTTTTGCTTTTTATTAGTAATGTATTCTAACATCTCAGAGGGCTGCTGGCACGTTTTCTATCAAAACGCTGGGGTTATTTTGAGCCTCATTTTCCTTATCTGTAACTGAGTATAACAACATTAGTATATCTTATTTCAGACCACTCCTTATTCCATGAAGATTTTTTAGTATAATAGCATTAGGATCTCTTGTTTCGACCACTTCCTGCTCCTGGAGGAATTTTGCTCACTCTTTTCAGTACTGCTTCAGTCAGAATTCTGGGTGATTTTTATATCCAGGTAGACTCTCTCCAGATGTTACAGATTGATAGCCCGAGGAGCTTGGCCTGTCAGTCCCCGGGCCTCCGTCCTGCTTCAGCCACTCCTGTAACTATAACGCCACCAGCCACCCAGTCTCGTTTTCACGTGCTGCTCCCCACTTACCACTTCCTGTTTTCTCGTCTCACTTCCTTTCACATCCTGCAACTTCATTGGAACCTGCAGTCCTTTTACCCGAACATCTTTGATTATTCTCATCTACTCAGCCGCCTCTTCACTAAGCTTCAGGTCAATGGCCTGTTACTCCTAAACAATCTCCTGTGTATATTTTCAGCCCCCTTGACTTTTCAGCAACCTTAGACGTAGTTGTTCTCTTACCTGTTCATTTGGTTTCCAGGACACAACACTTGCTTGGTTTTCTACCTGTATCATTGGTCACTCCGAAGTTTCTTTCCGTTCCTCTTCATCTCCCCCACCTCTTGATGACAGAGAGCCTCCGGGTGCAGTACTTGGACTTCTCTTTCCTGACAACACTGCCCTGGAGTTCATCTTTGCAGCATCAAAATAATTTAATTAGGGTCTATATAATGAAAAGGAATGATATACAGTTTTTTTCTAAATCACACAAAAGCAAATTAAGGAGGTTAAGATTTTTCTTTTTATTTTCATTGTTTCTAGTCATGTAAGTAGGGAGCAAGATCATCATGTCAGGAGTTTCTAGAAACCATATGCCATGTCTTATGTTTATAAAGCATGTAATAACAAATGCAGTAGCTCACTTGTGATTATTCTGATTTAAGTTGTTCCAGTATGTGTTCAAGAAATCATGTTTGTAATTGCATATTTTTATTATAGGAGCAATTTACAGCCATGAGGGATTTGTATATGAAGAATGGCCAAGGGTTTGCACTAGTATATTCTATTACAGCTCAGTCCACGTTTAATGACTTACAGGACCTGAGGGAACAGATTTTACGGGTTAAGGATACAGAAGATGTAAGTATTTTTCTCTTCTGCAAGACACACTGCCATCTCTCTGTGGCCAAATAAAAAAATGTCTGTTTTCTCTGTCAATAGAGTATTTGGAGGTTATCTACCACATGCATAAAGGGGCCCCTGTGACCAAAAACAAATTTTAACTTTCTAAATTTACCTACAAATTATATGCTTATTGAGATAGTTAGGAACCGAGGACGAACATGAATGGTAAAATGCTTGTGCCATGTGGGCATAAAGCACAGGAGGAAGCAGAGGGTTTAAGGGTACCTGGTGGCAGAAGGGGACTCGAGCTGAGCTGGGAGAGGTGGTAGTTGTGTCGGAAACAGCGGTCAAAGAACGCTATTAAGAACCATAATGATTTGTTGCTATTTCTAAAATTCTGTTGGTATAGTTTTTATGTACAGGATTTTTTATTTTTTTGATAATGTTAAAGATCTTAGTTAACTGGGCTTTTAGAGTTCTTGTCTTATTTGGTGAGTAGCATTGATATTGTTGTTGTACCTTTTTGCAAAGATGAAATGTATGCTTTACATGTTCACTTCAATTTTGAACCACGGAGTGTCCTTTTTCAGTTATATCTGTTAGGATATAAAATTTCATTTGTCCCCTTCCTTCTGTTTGGTGTGTTCTCTCTCATTATTAATGGGAACATGCGCACCTGCTCAGGACCTGAACTTTGGTAATATTGTAAGTGGGAGGGATTTATGCTATATGACTCATGACCAACAATAACCTAATGAATAGTTCTCTTCCTTCCCATGACTAATTTACCTAAGACAATTCTGTTTTAGGCAATTATATGCAAATCACTTAGCTCAGGTAATGTTAATCTCTTTATCGCATGTAACAAACTGAAAATGATGGAGTTGTAGGTGCCTAGTGTTTCACCTAATTCACAATGATCTCCTCTTTTAGGTACAAGATACACCATGTCCCTTAAAATCTTTCTTTTGTATTATGTCCGTCACCTCAAAAATAACTGCTTTCTGGAAACCTTTGTACTAAGGATGTTGCATACTTTGTTAGCAACCTGTTTTGTTGAAAGTAAGGAGTGTGGATAGACAGAGCCAAGCATTTCTGGTGTGCAGAAAGAGGGGAGGCATCGCCTTTCTTTTCTCCTTAACGACCACCTGAACTGGTCTTCAGGTCTGTGTGCCAAACGCAGAGGCAGAGCCTGCCACATCACGTCACCGTGCTGGCCTTGCCCCTGCTTCTGGCCTTCATGGGACAGTGAGGCGAAGGACTTAAACCACAGTTAGGCCCAAGAGTACCTTCTTCTCTGTACACAGATTTTTCTGTTTGGAATTCAACTGTCATTAGCAGCCCCCACGAGAATTTTGGGATTATATTCTTAAAGTAATTAGCAGGTCAGTGTAGTTGGATCTCTTCCATAATTTTTGTGTCTCTTCCCCTTCTATCCGCCCTCTCTCCCGCCCCCCGACCCAGTGCTCATATACACCCTTGCTTTCTTTAAGCTCTTGGTGAAGCGTGCAGTCCTCACTCATATATTCCATTGGGTGGCCGGTAGTTGCGTTCTTATGAAAGGATAAATAACAAGTATGTTAGTGTTCATTTTCTGTTTCTTCCTTCCCACAGGTTCCAATGATTTTGGTTGGCAATAAATGTGACCTGGAAGATGAGCGAGTAGTTGGCAAAGAACAGGGTCAGAATTTAGCAAGACAGTGGTGTAACTGTGCCTTTTTAGAATCTTCTGCAAAGTCAAAGATCAACGTTAATGAGGTAACCTCGCACTGCTTGGCAGCACAAACAAACGCCTTTTTTGTTTCCTTTAAGTGAACAGCCAGAAACTATATAAGAAAAAAATGTATTCTTTTAAACACTCTTGATTCTCCTAATTTATAAAAAACATTAATTCTTAGAAACCGTATTCTTTTGCTTGCATAAAATCATTTTGATGACTGTAATGAGGATGTTCATATTTACCTTCTTGGCAAAGATGAAGTTTAAGTTACAGAATATGTTTCAAGTCCTGCTAAGCCTCTAAATAATATGCCAGGAAGTGCTATGTGAAAATTTCACATCACCCTTATATTGTAACAATTATGCAGATATGTATGAATAGGTTGTAGGAAACCACAAAAATCAGTTATTATAATGAACTTACATTATACAGAAACACATTATCTCATGGATATCCCAGAAGGTGGTGGTCTGAGTCCTGCCTCTGTCTAGTGCACAGCTCAAAGGCAGGCAACTGAGTGTGGACGGCAGTTCACTCTCTTTTCGGCCTGATGCAGCAGGTGCACAAGGCTTTTTTTGTCCGTGACTTAAGCTCTCCACTATCTTGAGAACATGGCTGTGGACAGGAATGCTCAGCAAGTGAGCTGCCTGCCTGGGTGTAGAGGGCCGGCAGCTCACTGGGTCCCTGAAGGGTTAGTGTTGTCCCCAACTGCTCCCACCGACCAAGTGGAAACCTGAGGTTCCCTTTGCTTTTGTTAATTTTAACATAAACATTTTTATGTAATACCTTCTTTCTTCTCCGGGAAGCACGGGCGCTGGGCTTGCTGGCGCGCTTGCCTTCTGCAGCATCCCGGGCGGTCCGTCGCCGCTCAGCTCGCGCCCGCGACGCTCGTAGACACACGCGTAGAGCGGGTTAGGCTGTCGTCGCAGCCTAGCGTGTCTGCCTGCTGTGCGCTCTGGCCTTCGGTTCTGGAAGTTGTTCTTACCTGAGTGATACTGGGGTGGCCAAAAAGTCCATTTGGTTTTTTCTGTACTAAGCTCTGGTCCTTCTTAGTTGTCTTTAACTTCATTCAAAACAATTTTGTTAGATTGTACTGTGACTGCTCTCATAGCAGCAGGCATTTTAAAAAAACTTAGCAAAATTGGTCAATTCTTGTGTAGCCATTTTAATATTAAAGATGGAAAACAGCAACATTTTCAGCATATTATGCTTTATTATTTCAAAAAAGGTAAAAATGTGACTGAAATGCAAAAAAAGACTTGTGCAGTGTATGGAGAAGGTGTGATGACTGATCTAATGTGTCAGAAGTGGTTTGCAAAGTTTCTTGGTACTACTGACCCTTTGGCCAAATAATTCTGTGCCGTGGGGCTGTCTCATGCATTGGAAGGTGTTCAGCAGCACCCCTGGCCTCTACCCACTAGAAGCCATAGCAGGACATAGCTGACATACTCAAAATATCCAAATCAGTAAAGTTATTGGTGAATGAAAAATGTCTTTTATTTTATGGAAAAACCGTAACAAACCTTTTGGCCAACCCAATATTATGGTTGTAGAGTGCTGTCTGACTTTTGAAATAACTGGATTACTTTAAATATCTTCCAAGAAAAAAATTAAACTTGCTGCAAATTTCTGTTTTACAGATAATCAAGAATCTCAAAACTTCCTTTTTTTTAGGTAAAACCAATTTTAATAAGTACATAAAAATAAGAAATTCTTACATCTCATGTATCGCGTGCCTACGTGTCTACTTCTGTGTTAGGCACCAGAGTAGCAGTTACACAGCCACTGTTCCTTCCTTAGACAAGTTACGTCCCAGCGGGAGTGAGTCCTGCTGAGATCGGCAGTGGCAGTCGCTGCTCACTGCCTAGTAAATGGAGGAAGCGCAGATGCCTCCAGCCTCAGCTTTCTCTGTTGTGGAATTACAATTTCATAGATGTTATTTTGGAATACTTGGCTAATCATAAAATTTTAATTTTTAGTACAGTTTTTTTTCCAAAAAGGAAAAAAAGAAAGATAACTTTGAGATAAAATCGTGTAGGGTAAGAGTGGTACAGGGTCATCGCCTGCAGGGCGATTGGCCCCAGGGCTCTGGTCCCTTGCTTTTCCTGCCCTCACCCGTCCTGGTTCCAGCCACCAAGCCCTAGGGCTCAGCTGGGGCAGGTAGGCCAGGGTCCCTTGGGCGCAGTGGACAGGCGTTGTTCCCTACCTTTCAGGCATGACCTGTGTATGGGAACTTACGTGCTACTAAATCTTTGTCTGGGTTGTGGCTTCCAATGCAGCAGAACTGCCTTTTCACAGCAGTTGTTAAAGTCCCCCTTGATGTGAGGGTTTATAAAACAAAAATAGAAAAACGAAACAAAGTTAAATGCATTAGCTATTTAAGAATCTTTACTCTTTTGGAAAATACGACAAAATTCATGCTGCATTTTGTTTGGTTTTTTTTAATGCTCCTCTCTTTATAGCCTAACAATCCAGCTACAGAGTCCCTCAAATAGTTAATAGTCCCCCAGATAACTAAGGCCTTGTAAACGTGAGATTTCTGAGTGCCTGACAGTAGAGGGGTCATGCTTGCCCAGAATTCAACTCTGGGACTCAACTTTGAAGTCGTACAAGGACATACTGCTTGGCTAAATAGCTGCCCAAGTCTCTGGTTATCTACCTACCTACCTATTTTCACCTTCTGTCCACGCCATTTTGGTATGTTTTGAAAGTAATACATGGCTATACTAGAATCACCGTCAAGAACTAATTGTCCTTTGCTGAGAATAATAGGAATCAAGACATCCTCATTGAGGAGTGGCAGAGGGATTGAGAAATTACTCCACGTACCCCTTTAGAGCTCTGTGGCTCGGGCAGATGAGGGGCCTGGCCGAGGACTCTGAGCACGCCCAGCACACAGTGCGGCTTGCGCTTGCCGCTTTGGTGCGGCGGCAGCGGCTCCCGGTTTGAGGCAGACAGTGTCCGCCACAGAAGCCGTCCAGGACAGTGGTCCCTGCAGAGCCCGCCGCCATTCTGTGTGGTGTGGAAACAAATGGGCCGGCGTGGGGGAACGTGGTTTTGATTCATTCACTGTTTCAGTTTATCTTTTTATTATTTTTCATTTTATAGCGTATGCATTGAGGCTGCGGAGATAACAAAAGCATGTTCATAGCTTATGCATATTAAGTCCTTAAAGGGCCTCAGAGTTGTAAAACAGTTTGTATTTCAGAATTGTGAAACAAAACCATTTTGTTCATAAATTCTGCGTTTTCAGCTTTCTTAGCAAAAGAGAATAGTTAAGTGGTTGAAAGAAGATGGGAAGAGGGAGCAGAAAGAAAAGAATATAAATGAATATCACTTTCATAGGTTTAGGATAAAGCATGCAGTAGTATTTTTCTTAACAATTTATAATCTCAGGACCATTTTTAAAAATAAATAGAAGCTGTTTTATCTGAGTCTGTCTTTTAAAATGTAGACCAATAATTTAAAAAATATTTTACTTTGAAAACTTAATGAGAAGATGTAAGAACAATAAAAAGAATTTTTGTTTCCCTGTCATCCAGATTCATCAGTGTTTAACAGTTTGTCACGTTTGCATAGCAGCCTTCTTTACTCCTGAATTAGTGCATGTACCCGAGATGAAAGACATTGTCTTACACAACCATTGTACATACAGTTATTAAAAGTCAAGAAAATTGCCCAGGCTGGCGTGGCTCAGTGGATTGAGCGTCAGCCTGCAAACTGACAGGTCACTGGTTGGTCCCCAGTCAGGGAACAGGCCTGGGTTGCAGGCCAGATCCCCAGTAGGGAGCGGCTGAGAGGCAACCACACCTTGATGTTTTGCTCCCTCTTGCTCTCTCCTTTCCCTCTCTCTAAATAAGTAAAATAAAAAATACTTTTTTAAAAATCAGAAAAATTGATATTGACACAGTCCATGTTTAGCACATAATTTAGATTTTGCCAGTTGTACTATAATTCCCCTAAAAGCTAAAACATTTTGATACTCTTCTACAAAGCACTGCTTATTACAGGTGAATAATAATGTGACCACTTTAAATCAAGGGTCACAGACCTTTTCTTCATTTTAACCAAAATTAACATCACTGAAAACGGGCAAACAAAAATCATGGGCTAAGAGGAACATAATAATTGTTTTTGTCCTATTCTAGCCAAAAATATATGACATGAATCTAATCATGCAGAAACATAAGGCAAACCCAAATCAAGGAAAATTCCAGAAAGTCACTAGCCATTTTGTTCAGAAAAGACAGTGTCATCAAAAAAAGTGGAGGAACTATTCCAGGTTATTCCAGGCAGTTAAATGCAATACGTGATCTCGGATGGATCCTTTTGGGGGAGGAGGAGGGGAATTGGCATTATTGGGATAAGTGACAAAAATTGGATTTCGCGCTATAGACGGTACAGAGTGACGTAACAGTGCTTAAACGTCTTGAGTGTGACAACTGTAATGTGATTGGGGCTGTGTGGGAGAATGTCCTCGTTCTGAGGGAGCGCACACTCAGTAAGGAGCCGGTGCTATGCAGACGGCTCGTGGATGGTTGAATGAGAGTAAGAGTGTGTGCGCACGCGTGTGTGTGCGCATGTGTGTGCTGAGAGAGGGAGCAGTGGTCCCATGGCAGAATCTTACTAGTGGGTGAACCTGGGAGAGAATATATGCAAATTCTTGGTACTATTTTTACAACTTTTCTCTGAGTTTGAAGTTTTTAAAAAAGAAATACGAGGATTTCAAGGTGAACATTATCTATTCTCTTAATAATTAGGTTCTCAAGCATCGAAGATTCCATGAAGAAGATAACTTTGCTATCTTATTTTGCACTCATTCTTTTGCTTAATTTGATATCGAATATCTCAGGGTGAGCGTGTTCCCCTCATTGTAAGCAGGGAAGCCCTGCGTTACCCTGACCGAGTGTCAGCTGGGGCTTCTTAGAAGCCTGCCTTTAAAACAGAGCAGCAGGATTCAGATCCAAGAGCAGAATAATTTTTAACAGAATCAAGATTGTTTTGTGGAACAAGGTCTCAATGTTGGTTGAATAAGTACTTTTTCTTGCTTTTATTTAGATATTTTATGACCTGGTCAGACAGATAAATAGGAAAACACCAGTGGAAAAGAAGAAGCCTAAAAAGAAATCCTGTCTGCTGCTTTAGACCCGCAGTGAGCAGCAGCTCTGAGCCAGGTAAGAGTGGGGCACGTGCCTTTCTGGTCCTCTTCACTTTGTTTTGGCCTGTCCCCAACCTTAACCACTTCCCCGCTGCACCTGTTAGGGTATTTCCAGGCATCTGTAACTTGTAAGCGTGGTACCTAATTTGTAGATAGGCTCCTCTGTTGAGTAGTTTGTCTCCCTTCCTGAGATTCTAAGCTGTCTGAGGGAAGGCCCAGGTCTGTTTTGCCCACCACAGTGCCCCCCGTGTCTGGTACAGAGCGGTCTTCAAACAACAGTGGCGGAGGGAATAGAATGCCCACCAAGGTCACTCCCAGATTCCGGCCAGATTGACTTACAGGAAGGCTCAGGTGCACGTTTGATGAGTTATTTAAAGTGAACATACCCGTCCGTATATCTTACCAGTAGCATTTCCTCCCTAGATGGAACTCCTGCCCTAAATGCTAACAACACAGAGGAGTTTTGCCTCTCTTTGAATTTAATGTGAACAAAAACATGTATTATTTTATGTCTGGATTCTTTTACTCGAAAATGTGGGTCTTCTGAGAATTATCCTCACTGCATTTGGCAGCGGCCTGTTTTATTGCATGACTGGCTGCCCGAGCAGCGTGCTACGGGGTTCGGCGTGTGGGTGGGCGCCCGGGTCTTCTCGGGAGCCACACGGGCGACTCTGCTGTGCACGTCCTCCCACAGACCTCCGTGAGCCTGTTGTGTGCACGTGGTTCTGCTCGGTACGTGCCAGGTTGTACACTCTGTGGACGGACAGCTTTAGTAGAGACCACGAAAAAGTGTTTCAAAGCAGGTGTGCCAGTTACACACCCGCCAGCAGTTTGAGTTCCAGCTCCTCCCCAACTGTATCGTGGGTCTTGTCAGCTTGTGTCATTCCGCTGCATGTATGGAGCTGCATCAGTGTAGTTTTGGGGGTTCTTTTATCTCAAGTATGGGCTGACTTCTTTCAGATGTTTTATCTGGAGGCTTCTATGTAGCCGTCGACGTCACCGCGTCAGTTTTCATTAAGCGAACCCTTTGGAAAGGAATTAGTGCCAGCATTGAAGCTGCCCGTCAAGTGAGAAATCAGGCCCCGCGGGGCCATTTGTTTTTCTTTAATTGTATGTTTGAATCCCCCGAACAGTTTCTGCTTATCTTCATTAACTGTAAGCAATGCCATAAAAGAATATTTTTAGGCAGTGGATTTAGGATGTGCCTCGTAGACTCGGCCCGCTGAGAGGAGAGTCGGCAGCTCCTACTTGAGCGCGGGCGGCGCTGGCTCTTGCCTGTTGGGTGTGTTTAGTAGGTTGCCTCTTCCAGAGCCCCCGTCGGCTGGAGCGCGCCTCCTCAGAGACGGGGGTCCCCCCTCAAGGGAAGCAGCTGAATAGTTGTACCCCCTTTTTAAAAGGAAGTAGAGGGAACTGGGCAGAAAGGAGAAGGGGGCATGTGATCGCCTCTGGGAGTCGGATTCAGGAAAGACAGCTTGGGGCCGAACGATGGCCGTAGGCCGTTAGTGAGATGCCGATTCAAAGCTGGAAGCCCTCAGCTCCTGGAAAGTGATTCTTGTTAAAATCGCTGGTGCGCAGAGGTGGGGCGAACGAGGACTCTGTTTGTGTCCTGAGGCGCACCGTTTAGCTCTCTTAGAGCTGACTGGCTTGTTCATGCCTTCACGTTGACTGGTCCTAGTTGAATTTCTAATTCTCAAAAGGGTCCGTTCAACTCACATTCAAAGGAAGAGGTGCCACCTCCTGGCCTGCTGTGAAAATTCACTCGCACACACCCTGCGGCGGTTGTGGGATTTGCCTCAGAGGACAGAGACCTTGGCCTAGATCGGACTTGCATCCCGGTCGCCTGAGTCGTTAGGCTCTGCTCTGTAACCAGCTTCCAGTGGAGCCGCCGAGTCAGCGGCGCTCCCTGCGACTGTTGGGCGCCAGCCCTCAGCAGCTGCAGTGCTTGGCTGGCAGAGCGCCTTGTCGAGGTTACGGGCACGAGGGCCGTGTTCATCCATTTGTACTGAGATACGGGATCGACGTTTTTAATCTCTAATATTGCCGCTTTTAAAGACCTAGGAGAGCAATTCCTTTTCGGGAAAGTCTTCCTTTGACCTAATTCTTTTATGCTGAACAGTAAGATGTGGGAGTCTTCTGCCCTCAAATATGGGATCAGCTCTTCCTGTGTCACCTCTTCTTATCCTTGCCTGTGTGGGAAGTCGTGACCCTAATGTGTACGGTCATGAGACGGTCGAGTAAAGCGTTTCCCATAGGGAGTGTTTGCAGGCAGATGCTGTTCCTTAGTGGAAAGGAACTTCCAAAATAAAGTGATGATGGGATAGAAGTGAAACAATCACTGTTTTCCTCTTCACAGACAGGACCATCAGGTATATTGTGAAACACTGTAATAAAACTAGTTTTTAAACATTTTTAAAGCCCTGTTACTGGAGCTGTTTAATATAATTTTGTCTCTAGTAACGATGCGCCAAAACCATTGTTTCTTTGTATGTCATTAGGTATCTGCCTGCTTGTTACCTTCTAACATCGCGAGATTAACACATATGTTATATCTGTATCTGTTCAATGTTTTAGATTACAGGAATGAAGAACTGTTGCCTAATTGGAAAGTGCCAGCATTCCAGACTTCAAAAAATAAATCTGAAGAGGCTTCTCCTGTTTTATATATTATGTGAAGAATTTAGATCTTATCTTGGTTTGCACAAGTTCCCTGGAGAAAAAAAAAATTTGCTCTGTGTATATCTCTTGGAAAATAAGACAATAGTATTTCTCCTTTGCAATAGCAGTTATAACAGATGTGAAAATAAATATACTTGACTTCTAATATGATTATACAAAAGAGCATGGATGCATTTCAGAAGTTAGATATTGCTACTATAATCAGATGATTTCATATTGACCTTTTTATCATGATTCCTCCTGTCAAGCACTAAAACGTCGAACCATTATACTTTATATCTGCAATGATAGAGATTATGAAATTTCCCCTCAGACTCATTACAGCAGATAACTTTTTTGAGTCATCGACTTCATTTTATATTTAAAAATTATGAAATATCATTCTGTCATTATATTCTAATTAAAATTGTTTGTGCATAATGCTTTGGAAAAATGGGTCTTTTATAGGAAAAAAACTGGGATAACTGATTTCTATGGCTTTCAAAGCTAAAATATATAATATACTAAACCAACTCTAATATTGCTTCTTGTGTTTTACTGTCAGATTAAATTACAGCTTTTATGAATGATTAAATTTTAGTACATTTTCATTTGGTTTGTGTGTTTTTGTTATTGTTTATAGATGTAAGGCCTTTATTTTATAATGACTACATCATTTTAAATGCAACAAGTAGCTCCTTTCTGCCTAGACCCTGCAGAGCACTTGGCTGTAAATCCCTGAGTAACTGGTGATTTCTCTAAAAACAGACCTCACCCTGTCCGTTCCAGGTATATTTATTCCTACTATACAATAACATGCATCGGACTACATAAAATAGTTTTGTATATTCTCTCTTGATCTTAAAGATTGTATCTTATTGAATAAAATATCCCACTGTGTATTATTTTTATATGTAAAAAGATAAGTTTAATACTGTATCAGGGTTTAACTTTTGCAAATCTTCCATGGCTTGTAATTTCATCAAGGGACTGCTTCTGCCATTGTTAATTTGTGGGTATAGGTCCACCAGTGAAATGGTCCGTCACGTTTTTTGAATTTCCTTTATAATAGATGGAAGGATCTGAGAGAAGCAGGTGCAGGTGAAATAGCACGGATGCTTTTGCTTTGACTCTGTAGCAAGTAGCGCAGCAGCAGCGCGGAAAAGATGGCCAAACAAGCGTTTTAGCAGACTGCGTAGTGGTGCTTTTCTTTTCCTTCCCAGTTTTTTCCATTTTTTTACAAAAGATGGGGCTTAAGGAGGACGCGGACCAGGGTGATATGACTTACATGTTCTCCACCGAGGTCGAGCAGGACAGTGCTGGAGGAGGACGGAAACAAGCGTAGAAACCCTGTGCCTTGTCCCCGAATGTTAGGAGGAGACCAGACCTAGAGAGTCTGAATCATTGCTCAGGGATCTAGATGCCGTCTCGTAGCAACCGGGTGTGAAGTAGCACTCATGCCTCGCTGAGACTTCCCAGGAGTGTGGTCAACCAGCCCATCAGTTACGAAGCTGAAACCTAAAACTCAGATTTCACATGTAAGCTCTGACCAACCTGAGGAAATATTAAAGTATTGTAAAAAAAATTTGGAAATTGTATTCTTTTGAGTTTCTAATAAACTTAGTTACCTAATACCTTCCCTCCTATTGATGCACTTATACTTATGTCTGGGATTGGCGGGGCCAAAAATCTGATAAATGCAATATGTTTTAAAAAAAATAAGTGAAGCATTAGGGCCAGTCTGTCCAGGTCAGGGTGGCATATTTTAAAGCCTCTAAAGTCATTCTTGCTTTAAAACTCACCTCTCAAACATTACTTTAGAATTAAACATAAACACCTCACAAAGGAGTAGAAATGTCTGGATATAACCTGTTACATAAACAATGTAGCTATTTGCCGGATTAAGTAGAAATCATTAAATAAGAATTGACCCCAAGTTACAATCTGCTTGATTAGTAGGGTAAACCCGGTGCCACCTCGTTTAGGAAAACGACGACCAGTGCTGGGTTCTTTTGTCACGACTTGTACAGTCCACTTGGGCTAAAGGTAGGACCGTGAAGAAAAACGCCCATGGGCCGCACAGTTGTGGAACCAGCTGGAATCAGAGGCCGGCATTGCTATCTTGAGGAAATCTGCCTTTGCCGGGCAAGATGGAAAAGGTATCCTGTTAGAAAGTGAGACAGGTGTGCTCTTACATTGTCCTTATGTGACCTCCGCAGTCTTGGCTTCAGAGGGCGGGGTGCCTGAAAATAAGATGTATTTTTATAGCCCCAAACGTCCTTAAGATTATATGAAGCTCATGTGATAAATAGATGTCCAGGGACTGGCACCCTATTAGTAGTATGTGTGGCTATTTAAAGTTGATGGCCTTGGTTATAAGAGTATCACATAACTTAAAGGAGACTTGGTGTCACAGTTGATAGTAAGCTTTTTTCCACTAACACACAAACAACTTTAGTGGCTTAGGGGTGCCCTCAAACAATCTAGTTTTAGATATTAATAATTTAGACGTAATCTGTAATTTTACTGTCCACCAGGGGGAGCTTCGGTATCAGTTAACATTTCTGTAAGCACTAAATTCAGAGTGTATTCAAACCGTCTGTTCTGTAGGCACTGCGGGCCTCGCTGAGAGGCGGGCAGGCCTTCCCACAGCAGTTCGCCATCTGAGTGGGCAGGGAGGACACATGAGCCATTTGTCAAAGATGTGTAATCTGTGGGACGGTGGCCACAGGGTTGGTTCAGCTCCTCTCTTGCCCCTATGACTTTGAGCTCACGTCACTCTGGCACCTTGGCCGCCATCAACACTGCCACCGTTCACTCCCCCCGCGACACAGTCTGCTGCTTTGAAGGCAGAATGTACTTGGAGAAAGTTAATCCTTAGGAAGATACTGATCTTCATTTTATTACCAACTTTATTAAAGCAGGTCACTTGATCGGGACCTGTTTTTCTCGTAAACATTCATTTTCTGGACCTGTTCAGTTTCAGCTGTTGTGCCTCGTTACCCTCCTAGGTACCGTGGTCAGTTCACAGGTCTGGTTTTTGGTTGTAGGACCTAGGGACAGGGGAAGAGAGGTGACCTCAGTATGTCCCTGCGTAAGCCATCATGGAATCTTAGAAGACATGAAATAACACTGTTACAAACTTTATGTGCGGTAAAACCAAATGGAAGAAACTGTTGGGAATCTGGAGGAGAAAGAGAATTGGTAAAAAATAACCTTGTTTTATTCGGGTTTTGTACTTAAGGTGCTACTTACATGTATGTTGAAAAATGTCAGAGGGCCAAGTGATCTGGGTGCTTGTCCAGGACTTGGAAAGAGCCCATCTTGCAGGGAGGGAAATGAACGTAAGCTTTGAGGCAGTCTAACCACCCCAGCATTTAGCATTTTTGTTCCCTTCGAAATGCAAGTTACTCCTGAAAATGTAGTACAGACATTGCTTTGAGCTTGGATTTTTCATATTCCAAGTTCATTGTGGGTTTGTTGAATGTGCAGTTCACTTGTTTAATGCCATATCTTGCCTAAATATTCTTTTTGAGAACAGCTGGAGACTGAACTGGGCACCTAGGTCTGTTTTCTGGGAATGCAGCACAGGGTCTGTTTTGCAGCTATGCTAGCAGGGGCTGGGGACGGGGGTGCAGGTTCTTTGGCTTGTGAAGCAGCAGCCTCCTATGGGTCTGGGTCCAAGGTGCGACATACATTTCATGCTAATTGCTTCTCTTAAGAAGCCTGGGCTTGACTTCCTCTTGAGGGAAAACCTTAATAAACCTTCCCATTTGAAGCAGTGATGTGCCTTTTATTTTGAGCTGTTGTTTTCCATGCATTCACTTTTTAACTATGTGAGCTCTTGTGCTTACTATTCATTGTGTAGATGTTCTTGTAAGGCATACAAAGCAGATCAGGGCGTGACCGCTATGGGTTTAGCAGCAAACAAGTACTGTGCTTCTGCTGTACGCCAGATGAGGCTCTGCACTTTGGAGATCCAGTGGTGACTAACACTGGTCCTTCCTTTGAGGCTTCGACAGGTTTGTGTCAGGTCGGTGTGTGCGTGCGCACGTGTGTAGTAAGTACTACGGAGAACCGTTCAGCAGTTGCAAGGGGCAGGAATGCTAGACCACGGGAATGTGGTGGGTGGGAGGGGGCGGGGGGGCCTCCCGGCGGTGGGCGGTGGGCGGTGGGAAGGGTCCGTGCGAATGCCTTAGGGCGGATGGGTGCCTGGCGTGTTGGAGGGCTAGCAAGGAGGCCGCCATGGCTGGAGCAGAGGTGAGCAAGGGGGAGAGCGTAGAAGGGTGGGATTGGGTAAGGGGCGAATCTCCAGGATTTTCAGAGTGGAATCCATGGAAAGGATTTGAGTCAAGGATAGACACAGATCTGACTCCACCTGCCACCAGGAACGCCCGGGCTGTTGAGCTGAGAAGAGCCTGCAGAGAGACCAGTTAGGAGACAGAACAGGAGTCCGACTCAGAGAAAGAAGTGTGGACTGGAGAGATTGAATATTTAAGATGAAGGTGACTGGGCCACTGGGGTGAGTGTAGATGGAGAAGAGGTGCAGGAGCGCCCTCGCGGGGCGGGGAGATAGGGCACAGGGGAGAACCCGGCGGCCGGCGGTGACCGCGCTGGGCTTCGGTGGCGCGGCCGCTGTCAGGAAGAGGCAGAGGAGGACACAAAGGCAGGCCTTGGAGACATGGAGCATGGGCTGCTCTATTAAAATGGGTGAAGCCGCGCGCGCGTGCGTGCGTGTGTGTGTGTGTGTGTGTGTGTGTGTCTGTCTGTCTGTCTGTCTGAGGAGAGTGATCTACGGAGGACAGGAAGTGGAATCCCGTGAGCAAGGGAAGACGCACACCCAGGGGGGAGCACGGGCAGGCCGGTGGCGGAAGGGAGGGCGGTACATGGACATCGGAACCGGTAGGTTACAAGGAGCTGATACAAAAAACACCATGAAGAAGCTTTAAGCGAGGCACAATGGTATGAGATGGAAGAGATGGGTGCCCTGTGTTCTGTGGGACCTGAAACGCCTCAGAGGGGCGAGTTTGAGGCAGGCCTTCAGGTGACAGCGGGAACGGGTATTACAGGCCGGTTCCGGGAGCAAGCAAGTGCAGAGGACAGGGACAAGAGGTGGTCTAGTTTCCGTTGGTGTCAGCGAGGAAGTGGGGACTGGAGGAGCAGATTGGGGGACGCGTCATGCACAGAGCCTTGGAACAGGCAGTGGGTGATCGAGTGGGTTAGACCAGGCATCTGATTAGGCAGAGCGTTGCCAGGTGAGACTCGGAGAGGGCGGGGGCGGGGGCTTTCGCGAACCGATCAGAGCGTTCGTTCATTTCAGTGTGATTTGCTCCCAGTGGACTCAGGCTTCCTGGTCCTCACCTCTCAGTGCATTTTCCCCTTTTAATGGAGACGATGTCTGAGGCCCGTGGCTGTCATCGTCCCCCAAGGAAAGCTCAGTTTGAAAGGGGACCAGCATGAATACCTTGGTACTCAGAGATGTTAGGACTGAAGAGGGAAATCTTTGCCCTGGATTCCTCTGCTTCACCTGGCATGAGTCTGCTGCCCGCAGAATGCTTGGCGCCTACTGGGCATGTAAAACTTTCCCACCCCTGCCCCTCCCCAGTTTTCCTGCCT